TTAACTCCAATTAATTTTAAATTAGCCTTCTTGGCATCGTCTAGAATCTTTTGCATCCACGTTTCTCGTTCTCTTGTTTGTAGTGTCTCTTACTGATTGATCACCATCCACACCTATCTCCTAGATCTGACACTCTGTCCTCAAGTTGGTTGTTTCTGCTGCCCATACTTTTAATAGAATTTTTAATCTCTTGGATTCCTATTTGGCAGTTTTTATGGACTCCCAATTCTTTCTATGCTGGGTATTCATGATTTGCATATCCTTCTTTAACTTGTCTAGTTTTTTATGTGTCTTTTGTAGACTTGCTGATCACTTCTTTCAGTAGGATCGTTTTCCACTTAATTGTATTTACCCAACACCTTATTGACCTAGGTTTTTATTTTTATTTTTTAACTTTCACTGTTATCTTTCAGTTATTTTGTGTGGCTTTCAATTTCCTCCCCTGTGATGCCCCCCGCATTGGCTTTGGGGGAATGGGGAGTTTTTAGAGGCATTTTGTTGCCTTGTTTTCTCATGTTTCTACTTTTTGTTTGTTTCCTATGGTGAGGCTTGCAAAATGACTATAGTGGGTAGCTTTGTTGCTAGTATGGAAACCTTTGTAGTTAATGTCTACTTTTCAAAGATGTTCCCTGGGCATAACTAACTATTGGCTTTTGCCTGTCCCAGGATCCAACCACCTCTGTTTATCTGGAAAGGATGGTTGCAGTTTATTTGGCCAGTACCCAGTTCTTTGGAAATGAACAGCAGTATTGTTTATGATTCCCATGCAATCCAGGTATTGGCACTTGCAGAAAAACAATGGATAGCATCAACTGTGTCACCTTGTCTAAAGTAGTAAAATCCCAAACAATAGTATCAAATATAAAGTGGATATTGCCAACTCCTAAAATCAATAATGATTTCAATCATAGGAAAGTGATCTATAGTTGTAGAATAAACACTCTGACAAGCCAGATATTGATCTAGAGTAAATATTTACTCAATAGAATAACTTCATTAACAATATAATAGTGTTTAACCATAGCAAGATACATTTAACTATAGATTCACAAAGCTTAATGGTTATACTTATAACCAGCAGGGAATGGGAGCCTGAATTAAGGAGTAAAAGGAAATTACTAGTAGTAGATAAAAGTAACAGAGAAAACCAACAGGGAAAAGCAGAAATAATAAAAAATGGAGTGTAAAGTAAAGGAAAAAAAAGAAATACTGGTAATAATAAAGGAACAAATTAAGAGACTAAGAAAAGAGACAGAGAAGAGGCCCTAGTTAAACAAATAGAGATAATAAAAGGAAAAGAAGAAAATGGGTGATAAAATTCCAAACACCACCAAAAGAAACTGCAAAAAAACAACCAAAAAACCCTTAAAACTGGGCTGGGCGTGGTGGCACATGTCTATAATCTCGGCACTCAAAAGGCTGAGGCAAGAGGGTCGCCCCTAGTTTGAGTCCAGCCTGGGCTACACAGTGAGTTCAAAGCCAGCCTGAACTAGGTAGGGAGACTGTGTTTCAACAAAACAAAGCAAAACAACCCAAAAAACCAAAAGACAAAACCAGCAACAACAACAAAACTCAGAGCTCAAAAGAAGAAAGAAAATTCCTATGTGTTTACACATGTGGTTTACTTCCAGGATCCACAGTCTTTGGGATCCAGCAAGTCACTGTCCTCTCTGACCTGCTTTGTAGCCTATGGGTTTGTGAGGTCACCGCTTTGCTCAAGAGATCCCCTGTCTGTAAACT